AAATAAGAATATTTTTACATTTTTTTTCGATTTTTTTTTTCTCCCCCCCCCCCCCCCCCATGCTGAGAGAATTGTTTAATTAAAATTTACAATCTGCAAATTGCATTATTAAATATCATCCATTTGAAATGAGGTAGTGTTTGATAACCTCCAATTCCATGGAAAATGGAAATTCATTTCCACCTTTTGCCAAAAACGAGTGTTTGATAGGTAAAAAATTCTAGGAAATTCATTTTCCGTGATTCTTACCACCTAAGCAATTTTCCCACTTTTCCTTGAATTGGAATTCTCATGGTGAGAATTCCAATTCCGGTTTACAGTAGCTAAATTTATTTTTTTTTCAATTTTTTTTTTGTTTTTTTTGTTTTTTGATAATGGAAACAAATTCTAAGAATAATTGTAAAAAAAATATTTTTCTTTAACTGGCAATTTTCATGTAAAACAAAGTCAAACGAACACCAAAAGATAGATAATTTTCTTGAATTTTTTTTTTTTTGGAACGGTAATGGAAAAAAATTTCAGCCCCAATACCAGGAAAATCCATCCCTTTAATTGATAATTTTCATGTAAAAAAGTCAAACGAACACCAAAAAATATTTTTATTTTAACATTTTTCACTTGAAAAATTATACTAATCAAACACAATAATTTACAATTCCCAAGAAAACAATTTCTAGACAATTCAATTCCTTGGAATTCATTTTCAATTCAATTCTATCTTTGCAATCAAACGGACCATAAGTGTTAAAACTCCACATTTCTTCCAAAGTTCTTTACTTTTCGTCTTAATGCAACGTGGTGGATTAATTGCAATATCAAATAATTTGATGAAGAAATTAGACTCTAACCATAAGCCAATTATAACGATGAGCACAATGATATTGACATGATGCGTAATAGCATTCCCTAAATAGAAATAGGGAGAACTTTGTTTTCAATTAATTAAAGACTTTTTAACAAATAACAGTGTTAAATCATTTATCGATATTTCAACTAACATTATTAGAAATTGTATAATTTGAAAATTAAGCTCACAATTTAAATTTAAAAATTTGAGCGATAATTTTTCGAACTTCAAGTTGCGAATATTATGCAATCATATAGTATATGTATAAAATCTATTAGATATATATAATATTTAGATAGTCAGCACGGTGGGTGGTGGGATCCCATTTATCACCTTAATTAATTTTAAGAAATATAGGAAAATCGGTCATTATTTTAGCTAGTGATATTTAATGTTCAATTCATTGGATTGAAGAATATTCTGGTTCTTTATTGACTGTCCATTTAATTTTTTTTTTAAATTTCACATCATTATTGATCTAATGATGATCCAACTAGTCATGTCAAACAATAAAATCAAATTGAAGTTCTAGTTCAATATAAAATATAATTCAATATTAAATTTCGAAGAATATGATTAAACATTATGTAATCTTATAACAATCAATTAAGTAAACAAACTAATCAATGTCAATGTGACATGAGTTATATGTTTTCATTTAGGGATAAATATGAATTCAAAATGATATATTCTTCGCAACAAGCGCTACTTCGAAGTACGTTATCTTTAATTATTGCTTCCTCAAGAGCAATATGTCAATATTCTTTTAAAATATTAAAAATTATAATTCATGATATTCAAGAGTGATAAATTAATATTCTTGAATGTTGATAATATAGAAAAATTGTTTTTCTTTAAAAATTACAGCACGGTATTAAGTTGTTTAATTTGTGTTTTCTTAGAAATAAAATGAGATATATATTATTTGGGATGTGTGTTACTTTGAGATCACATTATATTTTAGTATAGCTTCTTCAAGAACAATATATCAATATTCTTTTAGAATATTGAAAATTCCAAAATAATTTAATCTTATGGAGTAAAAGTGTCATATACATTAGATCATATTTAATTATGCTTTTCGAGAGCAAGTAGAATATAACTAGAATATTTATAAATAATGGTGAGTTACTTTAGGGGAAACAATATTTATAACAAGAACTTAATGATTAATTAAACGATAACTAATTGAATATTAAACAAGAAAGAAAGAAAAAAAAAATATAAGACGAAATAGTTGAATAAATATATTTTCTTATGAAATTCAATGAACACATCACATAATTCAAACTGCCACTTGGGTCGGGCAAAAATCAACTCAAATCGGTTAACTCAATCCAAATCGATCGATTTGTGTTGGTTTTTAAGTTCAATTTGAGTCGGGTTGGGTTGGAAAATCAAATTTGAGATTGGATTGGGTTGGGTTGGTTCTGTTGTTTCTAGAGTTTAACGTTACTCCTTTGAAACCAATCCGACAAAATCACCTGAATGTAAAGAATTGATCAACAGGATCCAAAAAGTAATTCGCGCCCACCGACTTCACGATATTTCCTTAAAACAATTTGCTGCCTTCAATGGTGCTAAAAGTGTCCAGCAATCGTTTCTCAGGATAGAACGAATTTTCGTCTCCTACGGAAGCAGCACTGCAATCTGCAGGAGTTCCAACGAACTCAACGAAGTGTGTTTTACTTCGAGACAATATCAGAACAAGAGAGAGGGGAATGAGATTCAAAGCACATAAAGTTTGCAATGAAAATTGTGTGAATTTTCTGGTAGAGGTTGGCTATTTATAGACTTGTTCGTGGCCATTCGAACAGTCATCACCTTTCAGACAAACCTCAAAAATCGGAACAGACATGCTGTTTTAAAAGTCGTGTCTGTTAAGTCGGTTAATAGTTGG